TTTGGAATATTTATTTGGATTAGAAAGCAAACTAATAAAATTCACATTCAGTGGATAAACAAGCAGAATTATTTGAGGAGGTCACAGCACTTTGAAGATCCTTTTCCAGGCTGATTTTTGCAGCACAGATTTGATCTTTGATTTCCCTGCATAGATTGTTTTCCGAGCAGGGATCTGGCAGCAAATTGCTGCTGCCACTTTCGGAGCGTTTGCAGGAAATAGGAAGGATCTCTCTTCCTAAACAATCCTGGTTTATTTATTTTTTATTGGTCTGTTAGCAGATGTTGAAGTAGTTCAGGGCACAATGTAAACATGTGCTTTTCAATGGCTGCTAAATAGGAAAGTGCACAATGAAAGGAGCGCTTGGGAGGGGGCTTGGAGCAGGGCAGAGAGGGGGTTTTGTGGGGGTTTTGTGCGTCTGTGGTTGAATTTAGAATTAAAAGAAGTGCTTGATCTTTCAGCGCCGTGGCCCCATGTGGTGTGAGAAAAGGAGCAGCACTTGAAGGGCCGGGGGTTTGAAAAGGAGCTCGGCTCCGGTTGTGGCGGCCTGGAAGGGGCTGTGCCGTCCGTGGGCTCGGTGCCGTGGCCCCATGTGGTGTGAGAACAGGAGCAGCACTTGAAGGGCCGGGGGTTTGAAAAGGAGCTCGGCTCCGGTTGTGGCGGCCTGGAAGGGGCTGTGCCGTCCGTGGGCCCATTGAGGCCCCGCAGCTGCGGCCCAGCCCCGCAGAGCCCGCGGTGGCAGCGGCGAGGGTGAGCCCGGGCCGAGTGCGGGATTGTGGGCTCTGCCTTCCGCACCCCCTCCATGGCAGGCAGCTGAAATGGGCCATTAGCTATCAGGGAAAATTGTCTTTGCTCCTTTCAGCAGATGGAGCAAATATTTTACAAAGCAATTTTACATAGGAAAAGCATTTGTGTGAGGCGGTAATGACGGCTGTTTGCCATGATGGGACCCGAGCTCAGAACATGCTTTCCCAGCTCTGGGGAAGGCAGAATTGGCACTTTTTTAATTTTAAAATTTGCAGTTAACACTGAAAAGCCCGGGCTTTAAATCGGGTTGCTCGCTTTAAGTAGAGAGAGGGTGTTCAGTGCGCTGCTTCCAAAGCCATTCCCAGTTTTAGAGATCTCTCCATTTATTCTGTTCACTGTGATATTTGTGCTCCTGGCCGGGGTGGACCTGTCTGAATAAGAAAAAAGTGCCCAATCAGTTTAATTTGCAAAACAGGAAATAATGGCAGTTATTTGGCCATTTGGGCAGCAGGCACTGGCTCCTTCCATGGATGCTGGTGTCACTGAGAACATCAGGGCTGGACCCGTTCCCACCCAGTCTGGAGCGAGTTATCCCAGCTCCGAGAGAAAGGATGTGCTTATAAATGGCAGGAATTGCCATTGTGCCATCTAAATGGCATAAATTGCCACAGCTCCACTGACTGCAGCAGAGTCGTGGCACTTTGTACTGCACAGGAGCTCTCTGCTGATTTTATTCCTCTCTGACCCACTCAGCTTTCCTTTAAAGGAATTTGGAGTCCCTTTCTTCACAGTGTTTGCTTGCAAAGTCTAAATGATCCTTTCCATCTGATTTTTAGCTAAAAACCCCTGCATCTTATGCATCCTGCTCTGCAGCCTCTTGCTTTCCCCAGACCTTTCTTCCTGCTTCTATTTCTTCTTCCTATTTATTTATTTCTCTTCTCAACCAGCTTTTCTTTCTTTTTCTTTCTGTCTCCAGCAAATTTCCTACTACAGCCTTCAACATCTGCCATGCTTGGTCCTAATTTTGTGTTGCAACTGCCAAAGAAAACCTTTCAAAATTCATCTTGCAGAAGGGTGAGAAATTATTTCTCATTTAGTGGGAAAAAGCTGTAATTTTTTTTTTTTGGTGCTTCTTCATTGTTATAAAAAGGTGCTAAACCAATTTGGAGAGATGTAAAGATTTCTACATGATGTAAACAATATTTGGGCTGCTCATTTTTACTGCTACTGAGAAATATCAGCTGCAAGGTTTGAACAAATGCTCCCTGTTTCTGTTGAGCCTGTGGTCTTGGATTGTTTGGGGCCACATCAAGAGAGAAAACATTGGTAGGCTCTGCTGGAGATACTGTCCAATTTAAATGAAATTAGCCAGCTGAGCACTGATCCTTTTAAAAGGTTTGACTTCATGAGTGAGTGTTGGATGCGGGCTTGAATTTGCCTACTAAAACTCCCTATAATCAGGATTATTGCCTTTTTAGAGCTTACAGTTGCAAAAACCCCCTCCATCCAGGATTCCAGGAGCTGATCCCTAAAGGGTGAGTCCCTTCTGTGGGCACCCTGAGTGCCCAGGCTTTGTTCTGAGAGCCCACCTGGCCTTGGGGCTCAGGGGAGGCTTGGCAGCCTTTCTTGAATTGATGATTTGTTTAAAATCCTGCTTTGTTTCTGTCAGACAGGTTTGGTGCTCACATCCTTCACAATCCCCAGAACTGTGGCTGCCCCTGGAGGTGTCCAAGGCCACGTTGGAGCCTGGGATAATGGCAGGATGGGATGGGATTTAAGTTCCCTCCCAACCCAAACCACTCCAGGATTCCATGATTTATTATCCTAAAGCACCATCCCTAGATGTGCAAGAGAAAATTTCCTTGGAAGTTGTGCCTGATTTTGCAGCCGGGTTAGGGAGGTTTCTTCCACAGCCAGGTGTGATCCTCCAGCTCTGTGCGAAAGGAGAGGCAGCTCAGAACTGTGGCTCTGGAAATCTGTGTCCCACTTTAATTGTTCCTCACACAAACCTGGGCACAGCACTCCCAAATGCCTCCACATCCAGCAGACATTTCTGGTTTGGTTTTTTTCCCCCTGTGATTTATCAAAATCTTTCAGGCAGCCACGGCACAGCTCTTGCTTTGTTTGTTTTTATATTTCTGTTGAAATTGCTCCATAGCCCGAGTCAGCAGGTCTCAGGGATGAGGAGGGAATGACAGAGGTGTTGCTGATTTGTGGGGCAGCAGTTCCAGGCCATCCATCAAGGCTCACATCCTCCAAAGATGAGAGGATTTTCATGAGCCACCTCAGCCCGTGCCTTGTTGGCTCAGCAATAATTCAGCACAAACACAAACCCACACAAGGCCAATGGTGCTCTGCTCTTTCAGTCAGCTCAGCCATCCAGACCCAAAATTCCTCCTCCACATCCTGAGGAAATGAGCAGGGTAAAAACCTGAAGTTGGGTAAATTCTGAGTTTGGATCTCATGCTTTATGTGCTCCTTTGTTTTTTGGGTAAATTCTGAGTTTGGATCTCATGCTTTATGTGCTCCTTTGTTTTTTGGGTAAATTCTGAGTTTGGATCTCATGTTTCATGGGCTCCTTTGTTTTGGGGTAAATTCTGAGTTTGGCTCTCCTGCTTTATGTGCTCCTTTATTATTGGGTAAATTCTGAGTTTAGATTTCATGCTTTATGTGCTCCTTTGTTTTTTGGGTAAATTCTGAGCTTGGATCTTGTGTTTCATGGGCTCCTTTGTTTTTGCCATGAGATCGTGCTGCTTAGTGTATTGATCTACTGACGAAATTCATTTTTAACCCCTTTTTTGTGATATTTTTTAAGTCAAGAACATATTTTTCTCCTTGTTATGTGGCAGGATCCCACATATCCCAGACCAGCATCACCATGTGAGCACCCCCATATTTTTAAGGTACTTTTCCCCTCAGCTGTCCCCCTTCCATGGCTGGGCAGCTGAGGCTGGGGTGGAAAATGCCTTTGCTGCAGTCTCAGGGTGGCTGCAGCCAGCAGCAGGGTTTGGGTCCAACCCAGATTCCCCAGTTGTCCAGAGGAGCTGTGGCTGCCCCTGGAGCCCTGGAAATGTCCAAGGCTGGATGGGTTTGGACAGCCTGGGACAGGGGAAGGTGTCCCTGCCTTGGCAGGGCTGGAAAAGGGTGGGATTTCAGTTCCCTTCCCCCCCAAACCATCCAGTGATTCCAATCATTGCTCCATCCTCCTCGTGCTGGTAGGCAAATCCCAGTGAAGTCATTTGGAATTTGCATTTTTGGTTACTTTCCATCATGTGCTCCATGGCAAAGCCCATCTCTGCAAACTCACTGCTCCGGAAAAACAGCTTTCATTTTTTATTTGCTATTCTTAGCTGTCAGCCACAAGGATTCCTCATGTTCCTCCAGAGCCTGGCATGGGGTGGTGGTGGCTGAGGACACGGCAGGGCCAGAGCAGGGCTGGTCACTGCTGCAGCCGGGCAGAGGGGATGGAAAGAGGGGAAGGAGCCCCAGGGGAGCAGGGGAGGCTCATGAAGCAGCAAGGAAAGGAGCCTGAAGCAATCCAGTCAGGGTCCCTGCACTTTATATGCTCCTGTTCTTCTGGGGCTTTGGGGAGCACTAAAAGCAGAGCAGTTACTTGCTGTATTTAATGGGGCTGGGCTGTGTGTGTGATAATAAAGAATTTGAAACTAGGAAAAAAGCTGCTTTAGCTGTGGAGTGACTAATCAAATCCCAGCAAAGACACAGGCACTTGGGAATTTGTTACAGATATTTTGCAGATTTAAAAGGATATCTCCTGCTTTAGAAATGCTTTTGCTTGATTATTCCTTTTTCTCTTTTTTTTTCTGTCTAAAGGGTATTTGGGTTGATAGAAGAGCTTAAACATAGAACCAGCAAAACTATTGCTGGCATATGTGACTATTTCAATATGCTGCTTCAAAATACAAGCAATGTACAAGTTATTGACTGCTGCTATTGATCCCAAAGCAGTTACCAAGTACTTGGCATTTTCAGATGCCAGATCCAATTATTGATATAAATTATAATGCGAGAGATGCTGTGCTGAGGGGGGGATTGGCTTTCAGAGAAGGACAGTTTGCAGGAGGAGGGAAGAGGAGCAAGCAGAAAAATTAAAAAAGGCTTCCTGACTGTGGGTAAACAGTAACCACATTTTTTTTTTTTTTTGCCTGTTGGAGGCCTGGTTTTTAATCACCCCACAAGCAGTTTTCATTTCTGTAGTAAAATTGCTTGTGGTTCTATTTAATTTGTTTCTGCAGGAGCTAGCTTTGGTGAAGATCTCCCAGGAGCTGCCGGGCCTTTTAGCACAGCACGTACAGCCAGTCAATGAGAAACGATTCCCTACATGGGAAAAATTCCTCCAAACATTTCTTACTCAAGGTAAATAAGACTGCAAAGTCGCTGGGAAGTGTTAGAAGGAGTAATTATGCCATATTGTCTGCCATATTCTTGTTAGTCTTGGGCCCATTTAAATATTTATCTCCTTTTATTTCTCCATTATGCTTCAAATGTTCATTTACCAATGAATTATAGGCCACTGTTCTATCATTCACTTGTCCTATCCAAGCTTTTAGTCCATATTTATCCTGGATTCTGAATCCATAAGCACCAACTCCTTAATCCTTGGGTGCTGCACATTTGGGGAAGAGTTTTGGGGAATTCCAACGTGTGAGGTAAATTTAACATATAGATTTCTTTATGGATTTCTTTATGGAAGAGACAAGGATGAATCAAAGCCTTGAAGGTATTTTTCTTTTTAAATAATGCCACTTAACACATCTAGTACCAATTTTATTACATAGCTGTTTATCCCAACAAATGGGCTTATGGCATTATACGCAAGGAAAAGGCAAATCCAGAGTGCCAGGCAAAAGTGAAGTTTAAATCACCTTGGTGATTTTCCTATGGAAAACCAAGCTGGAAATTGTTATTTCCATGCCAAATTCCTCTTGGGGGTGAATGCCACAGGCAGACTCTTAGCTAAGACCATTACATGGATGGGAGTCTCCAAGATGAGCTCCCAGCAGGAGCTGCCATCCCCCAGATCCCAACATTGCATTTCCCAGCTGTTCCGGGCTGGTGCTGAGCTGGATTCTCTCCTGCCACCCCAGGGATTGTTTTCCAGTCAGTGTGGCACTGATCCCCTTTGGAAGTGGGAATGAAAATCACAAATTAAACTCCTTGTCCTTCCATGAGACCCACGATTCTGGCTCTGCTGCTCCCCTTGCTCTGACTGATCTGCTGTTTGTCCTGGGGCTGGGGGCTCCATCCTGTGCCCTCTGAAGGGCAGCACTGGTGGCTTTGATCCCAAGGATGTACGGGGATGCAATATGGATAAATGAAGGTGCTGTAGAATGTTATCTAATCCCCTAAAGAGTTGCAGCTGAACCAATTTACTAACGATTAGGAGCAGGCCTGATCTTAATAGGCCACACCTGTAGCCAATAAGAATGGTGGTATAAAAGAGTGGGTTGGTGGGAGCTGGAGTCAGATGGCTGCTGCAAGGACCAGGAGCAGTCAGTGCTTACAGGAGGTATGAAACTCTGGTGATATGAAATCTTTGCACTACAATGATAAAAGAACTCGTGATATATAAGACCAAACAAGGGAATTGCTGTCCCATTCCAGGGGGGGTGATCGAAGCCTTTCCCTGCTCGGGCAGCGTCACCAACCTGACGGTGGATCTGCTGATCGAGCCCTCGGGGGAGCTGACTCTGCTGGCGTCTGGGGAGCAGCTCCACGCCGAGGGGCCCCTCAGGTCCTCTGGCACCACCATCCCGCAGCGCTCCGTGGATCCTGGCCTTCTCCAGGCCCTCTGCCTCAAAGTTGGCGAGGCCTGCAAGGCCAAAGGAGTGCTGGGCTACTTCTCCGTGGACTTCGTGGCTTTCACCCATCCCCAAACGGGGCAGCAGCAGGTGAGTGGGGCAGGTTTGGGACCTCACCCTGTCTCCCTGAGGCTGAGAATTCCCAACTTTCCCATGGAACTCCAAAAAATACAAAGAGAAAGCTTTGCCCTTTGGAACAAACTATTTCCAAACTCTGAGGCATGCGAGCTGAGGGAAGCATGGGGATATTCTAACAGCACCTGAGGCATCTCCTTGTTTTTCACTCTCCTGACATTGTTTTCTTCTGGATTCTTCACTGAGGACCTCAATGTTTAGGATGTGTTTGACTGTAAAAGGGAGCATCCCTGGATTTTAAGGCTGTGGGGAACTTTGAGGTTTTTGGGAGCTGACAGCACTGTAGGGGTGGCTGTGGTGAACCAGAGAAACAAAAGAATCATGGAATGGTTTGGGCAGGAAGGAACCTTAAAATAATCTCATTCCAACCCCTCATTTTAACACCTTTCACTGTCCCAGGTTTCTCCAAGCCCCATCCAGCCTGGCCTTGGACACTTCCATGGGTCAGGGTCTGTCACAGCTCCTCTGGGCACCTGTGCCAGGGCCTGGCCCTCACAGTAATCTCTGAGCTCTGCAATTCAGATCCCAGATATATTTGATTCCCAAAATGCATGTGCAAGGCACTGCAATCAGAACTCTGGGTGAGCCATACTGGGCAAGTTCCATGCAAGTTCTTTAAAAAGGGGAAGGGATGACATCCTCACCCATGGAAATCCATGGGAGCTCTGCCAATTGCTCCACTCAAGCCAGGAGGTCACTGAAATGCAGGATTGCTTCCTGGATTATTAAGGTTGTGACATTTCCTGGCACAAACAAGGACGCATTAAATCATTTAGTGATTATTGTGGCTTCTTAGAATTCCTGTCTGTTCCCTCTTGGTTTTCTTCCCTGTTCCCAGCTGATTTTTACCTTAAGATTTCCTATGTTTATCAGCATGTACCACAACCTTAACATTATTTAAGCACAGGTTTTTAAATTTAACTGGATGTGGAGGCAATTAATGAGGCCATCTGTCTTGTGAGAGAGAGATCACACAAAGGCTTGTGCTCCTGAAAGCACCGTTTTTTTGGCAAACAAGAAATCCTATCAGACCCTTGGAACATTTGCTGACTCCTTTCACAAGGGTCCCCTTGAATGCAGTAGGTGGGAGGCTCAGGTGCAGTTCCTGGAATTACAGGATACTCAGGAATTCTTTCCAAGTGTGTTTTACAGAAAATAAAATACTGATCTTTGGAGCACTGGGAGAAAAGGATGGGTAAGGAACAATGTGTGTTGTCCCAGGGGGATGACAGAGCCTTGGCTGCCACGAGATCCAAGGGGCAGGGAGAGCTGGGACTCCACACAATTCCCTGTTTGCCTCAGGAGTTTGTTTCCATCTCAGTTTCAGTTTGTGCCTTGATCCTGAGGGAAGGGAGATGGAGGTGCTGTTCTCAGTGTCATGGGGAAGAAGTGGAGATGCATCATTTGGGGTGAATCCCTTCTGATTCCCCCTTTATTTTCCACAATGATCATTCCAAGCCAAGCCTTGGCCCCTCAGAGTGAAATCCTGCCCAGAGCTGTCAGATCCCAGCTGGGAGCTGCACCCAAATAAATCTACTGCATTGACTGGGAATATTTAAACACATCCACTTCCTTACACATTAATTTGGAGAAGCAGGATCCTAAGTCACCTTTTCCATGGGTCTGATGGATTTTGCACCGCCCCAGCCTTTCCTAACAGTGAGGGAATAATAAATTGGATAAAGTGCTGGGATTGGACAATTCCAACAATTCTCTCCAGACAAAAAACTACACATTTTTATGTGCTATCTTCCAACAAGAGCCACAGTGCTGCCACCAACCATCACCCAGCAGGACAGAGGAGTGGCAGAGCCCTAAAATTGGAGTTTTTGGGCGAGCCCAGCCCATGCCAGCAGCTGCCACGAGATGGCAGCCGGAGGAGAGCCTGCAGCACCGCCCCAATCCATCCTCCCGCAGGTTTGGGAAGTCACAAAAGCCACTCTCTGCATTAATATTTTACTAATTGACGTTTTTACAGTATCACTCAAGCACTTCTTTAAAACTAGCGTGGGTGCTCTTCACAATAACGCAGCCGTCGATAGCAGAGCAGATAAAACAGCTAAACCAGAGAGAGCTGAGCTGTAATTTAGGAACTCTTTAAGAATTTATGTGTCCTTTCCCTTCTCAAGTTTACATTCTAACGCTGAAGCGTTTTTATGGAAGCTGTAAAGAATTCCAGCATAATTGTGGCTTTATTCACTGGAGCTGCCTTCAGCACAGAGCGCGGGCTCTGGAGCTGTGTGTGCCCAAGGAGAATCCCCTGGAAGCAAATGTTCCCTGGGGTAAACAGCCAGCAAGTCTTGCAGGATGTATTTCTAACTCCTTTTGTTTCCATTGGTGGGAATCTGGAGAGTCCCAATCTGTTCTGTGCTTAGCTTGACCTAAAACCAGTCTTGAATCTATCTAAAATCTTAATTACTGCCTTTGGACTTCAAAAATCAAGTATCAGTTCTAGGCTGTTCTGTTCCAGTTTAATTTCTGAACATAAATTCTGAAAATCCCCACATTTCAAATGAGAACTCCTTGTGTTCTGCTAATTTTCCATGCAATCCTGTCAGGATTTGACACCCCCAATCATAAACGTGAACAATTACATCCCTGCCCTTATTGCGTATGCTCAGAAAATGGGGACGGGCTCAATAATAGATGTTTGTTAATCTGTAGGGTTGCATCATGCTTTACTTAAACTTCACCTTTGCACAGGTCATCTCTAAGAGCTCCTGATTTACTGGAGGAGATGATTTATGTGGCCAGAGCCCTTGTCCAGGCCCCGTGTTCTCCCATTCCTGTAGCAGCACAAAGGGGATTTAAAGGACATTTTTGTGTTTCCATGGCAAAAGGGAATCCCCTGCTAGGATAAAGCTGGAAAATCTTGTGCCATCTGATGCTTCTTCCTCTCTCCCCCACGTCAGGGATGTTCTGGGACACATCCAGGGCAGGAGGGGACAGGGCCACAGCCAAAGTGTTCTCAGAGAGCCCTGAGCCAGGCAATCAGTCCTGGGGGTGATCCCAGCTGGCACCAAGCAGTGACCATTTGGCTGCTCTGGGTTCCAGCAGGGGCGGTTCTGCCCCGGGCTCAGGGATGGAAGGAGGTGGACAGGTGGCTTCCAGCCATGTTTGCCTTCCTCCTATTCCTCCTCCTCCTCCTCCTCCTCCCCACGCCTTATACTGGAAAATGAAAATATTACAATGACTTTACCTGAGGAGGGCATGAAGCTTAAGGGGGTTTTGGAGCTCTCCTTTGTTACAGCAGGGGAGGGGATGGACATTTCCTTCATCCCCCTGTAGATCCAAACTCTTCATTTTGTAGGCAGCAGCAGGAATGGGGCTGAGATGATGAAATCACACCCAAAAACTATTTAATCCCCTCTGGATGCAAACAGCAACTCCTTAAACCAGTATTTGGTCAATCTCATCATTTCCAGCACAGAGGTTGCCCTGCTGAAAGCTTTTTCTGTGCTGCCCTGCTCTCCCAGCCCTTTCCTTGGGAGCCGTTCCCTGGAGCAGGGGCTGCAGAGCAGCTCCTGGGCACTGCAGCCAGCCTGGCATGCTGGGGCTTTGTTTGGGTGCTGTGAAATGCATCACTCGAGTAATCACTGGGGTTTGTCTCCATCTGAAATGAAAACAATGTCGTTTGCTCCTGTTTGAACTGTAGGCACTGACCAGGTGGGGTTTGTGTGGGTCCCTGGAAGGGGAATGGGTTCATCCACTGCCGATGGCTGCTCTGTGAATGTTTGTTAATGTTTTAGCTGCTGTTAAATCCTCAGCCCATTCCCTGCATTTCGCTCTGGGACTCACTTCAGTCCCAGGGATGTTTTGGCTTTCCCTTTTTCGTGGTGCCCCTTTAGTCCAGCTGCCTCCTGCAGCTCTGTTTGTGCTCAGCAAAGCTTCAGGTGTGGATTTTGAGGTCAGGTGTAATATCAGGGTCTGGAATAGGAGCAAACCCTTCACCTGGAGCCAGTGAACAGCTCTCAGATATCTGAGATTTTCACTCCCTGGTTCCCTCATTCAGCTCTGTCACTTCTTTCTGAGGGCAGAGTTTTAATTGAAAGGGTAAAACCCAGCTCAGACAAGATCTAGGACATATTGACACAGATTTGTTGATAATGTTTATCAAAATTAATGGAACACTCCCACAATGTGAATAGCTTATAATTATCATTTGGCTCATTGAAAAGGTTGGCACACACTGGAAAAGGAGAAATGGACAGCAAAGTTCCTCCTGTCTCACAGAAGTGATGATAAACAATAAATTATTGAAGAAAATTAAGTATTATAATTGGGGAACATTCCCCTATTACTAAGTAAAGCCAGCCATTAGCATCCAATTTGCATTTTAGACCGTGCAGCAGGAAATATTTAAGTTGACAAATAGGATATTTAATACAGCAACAGATACTTGGCAGTTAGACATTAACAACTGTTACTGGGGTGATTTATTCCCCATTATCCAAAGGGCATTACTCTGTGCATATGATTCTGAAATTAACTCCACTTTTCCAAGAGGCCTTGGCTGCCTGACCCCTTAATATCCTTATAATGAGTCCATTTACCATTGCAGGGCTGAGGCGAGTTGTTCACTGGGAGATTTGTTTTAAGGGGTCCTCTGTAGGGCAGCTCTTGGTGTGTGAGAACATCTCTCACTGGCAGGGTCGGCACAGGGATTTTTCAAGTGGGAAAAACTCCTGGCAAAAGCAAGCTCTGGTTATAGGGGTGGAGAGCAACCCATGGTGCTTCCCTCAGCCTCCCTGGAGGATCAGTTCTGAAGTTACACAAGAGTTCTGGCTGTCCCTGTTTGGAAGTGGTTTGTGGAATCACAGAATCCCAGAATGGTTTGGGTGGGAAGGTGTCACAGAGAAAAAATGTGGGCCTTTGTCAGGGCCAAGCCATTTGTCGGTGAGGGGAGACTCAGACACTCAATATGAGTGATAAGCAAATTCCGTTTATTGAAGAGAGCATCAGACACTTATACAGCGAGTAATAAGCTTATGAATATTCTGTAAGCCAAGCAATCTATTGGTTAAACTATACCATGAACTCTTCCTCATTCCTTAGGGGGGTTACATGTCTCTTTTCTCATGCCTCTTTCACTGTTTGTTATCCCACCACAGCTAGGCCCAAGGACACTGCTATCTGTGCAGGTGCCGGACTTGGAATTAGCCATGGTTTTGTACTTTTCCATTTTCTAGCAGCTAAATTCCCAACAGGAAGGGACCCTAAAGCCCCTCCAGTGCCACCCCTGCCATGGCAGGGACACCTCCCACTGTCCCAATGTCCAACCTGGCCTTGGGCATTCCAGGGATGCAGGGGCAGCCCCAGCTGCTCTGGGCACCTGTGCCAGGGCCTGCCCGCCCTCCCAGCCAGCAATTCCTTCCTCACATCTCCATCACTGCCAGCCCTGCCCCAGCACCAGAATGCCAACACACAGGACAGACCCAGGCAGAGATGTTCCTTCACAATTGCTGAATTTTGCTCTTCTTGTTGTTCTTTTTAATTTATTTGAATGCCCCTCTTTGTTTTTTATTAGGTGTGGGCAACAGACCTTGACCTTGGCTACAGTGACCAGCTGGCCCTGAGTCAGCTGCTGGTGTACCTGACAGATGGAAATGTGGATTGTGGCTCCAGCATCCTGCAAGCACCTCTGGGAGCAAAGGAGAGCCCAAGCCAAGGGGTCCAGCACGAGGGGACAAAACCTGTAAGCAGTGATGTGCTCCCAAACAGAGCCATGCATGGAGCTCCCGGTTCATGTTCTGTTCCAGAGGAGCTGAATCTGCTAAAAGCAATTCAGGTTTTAAACAGCTGCTCCTGGAGTTTTCCAGGTTAATGGAGCCATGGGCGAACAGCACAGGAGGAGTTAAAGGGAACAGCCCCATCCCAAGGCCAGGCTGGGCAGGGCTTGCAGCACCCTGGGATGCCCCAGCTGTCCCTGCCCATGGCAGGGGTGGGATCAGCTTCAAGCTCTCTTCCCTCCCAAATATTCTGGGGTTCTATAAAATGGAAAGAAGGGTCTTTAGCAAAGCCAGCATAAGAAATGTCCGTCTGTGTACACACACATATGGACAGACAACAAAAGCTGTTTGCCGTATTTTGACAGAAGATTCACAGCTCCCTTTTTTCCATCCATAGAGGAGGGAATGTATCACCATTCCAAAAATGTCATGGAGCTGTAATTTAGAGGTTAACGAGCTCTTGATCCATTGTTCTCGTCAAGCAACCACTTTTAGTTGGAGAGAAGTAAATTAGATCTGATTAGTCCCAGTAGTCCAAGTTTTAGAAATGAAAAGTAATCGAGTAGCAACTTTTTTTTAATTAAAATTCTGTCAGAATTAACATAAATTGTTATTATTATATGCTTTATTTTTAATTCTTTCTGTATTTCTGAGATTTTTATCTCCTGAAGAGTTAACTACAAGACTCCAGTCTCCCAGGAAAAGAGCAAAAGAAACAAACCAAGAGACAAATGTTTTTACTGCACATGATCTGTAATGAATGATTAAGTAAAACACTTTGTGTAAAATTATGATGTTAATAATGATTCTGTCCCTTTTAATTTATTAGATATTCTCCATGCTGGTAGGGCTGATTTTGATAAAACGGAGCAGCCCCGCAGTTTGTGCAGGGATTTTATTTTTAGAACTCCTTCTTTGAAAGAACAAATTTCCTAGATACTGCTGCTCCTGTAATTATGTACAAAACCAATCACTCATTATAGTTAGGATACATTATCTTCTAGACAGATGAGGCTAAATAAGCAACACATTAATAATTCATCCTGCAGTTCATTATGCATGTGTATGCATGCTTTGTAGCTGAAATAAGCACCTCATCAACCTGATGCCAACCCTTAAACAATAGTTCTGTGTTATTGCAGCCACATTCAAGTTTACGCTTGTTAAACTGCTGCTTGGATTATTTTATCAAGCATTCATTTATTTGTGGTCCCCTACTGCAGAGAAACAGATTTTGGAAGCTCCTTTTTTAAGTTAATGACTTGAGCAATGGGTGTTATTAATTCTCAGAATATTATAAACATGATTAATTTTCAGGCAGAGATGTATTAGATCAGGATTTCAGCTATGTCAACTTAAATGAGTCAATGTCAAAACAAATATCATTTTAGGGGAAATACAGTAAATTACAGGCTTTGATGTGCAGTGTCCCTGCTCCCAGGGACATCAAAAATAGCCCTGCTTTGGAACAGCTCTGCTCAGAGCTCCTCAGAACAACATCTCTGTTCTTCTGGCACTGGTGAGAGTTTAAACTTGATGCAGCACCAACCTTAATCCAAGGGGGAGAGAGGGCAGGGTCAGGTGGGAATAAATATTGGGAATAAATTCCTCCCTGGGGTGGGCAGGTGCCCAGAGCAGCTGTGGCTGCCCCTGGATCCCCGGAATGTCCAAAGCCAGGTTGGATTCAGTGCTCTCACAGAGCTCAGGGGCCACTGAAGCTGTGAAAACACCAAAATGTGCTTCATGGAGCAATTCTGTGGATGTGATCTGTCAAACAGGGGTTTGTGGAAATGTCTGTGTCCAGCAGAGCCTGTGAGCAACAGGAATTCCTCCAAATGGAGCCTTATTCCACGCTGAGTTCACTGGCAAAAAGCCATTTATGGAATGACAGGATCCAGCATGGTTTGGGTTGGAAGGGAACTTTAAGCTCATCCCATCCCACCCCTGCCATGGCAGGGACACCTTCCTTGTCCCAGGGTGCTCCAAACCCATCCAGCCTGGCCTGGGACATTCCAGGGATCCAGGGCAGCCCCAG